AAGAATTCACAGGATTTTTAGCAGTAAAAGGTCCCCAATGAGTGCTAAGCTCAGTGGGAAAATGCAGTGTATAAATCTGCAGTGAGAGGAGTAGAACAGGAGGAGAGCAGTTCTTCACTCAATTTTGGGAACCCCAAACCACCGGTGAAGGACCTTAGAGAGAAACAAGAGTGACGAGATGATATTTCGGGGCATAAATGTTAATTTCAAAGAATTTTCATGTTAGATGTAACGTTGAGCAAGATCCCATCTGGAAATCCTCAACTCACTGGAGACTCCTGATGTCATTTGGCATAGGGAGAGATAATCCGTTCTAGTAGAGGAATCAGCCTCTAAATGGTTCACAGTTCCAAAGCATATTCCGCAACACAATGTTGCGTATTGCTGTTAGGAGAAGTGGTCACTGGAGGTATCAAGAAAGATGGAGACAGGTCCCGGCAAGAAAAACATGGCCAAAGATGATGGATAAACTGGTTTCATGTGATGGGATGAAGAACATCAACTTGTAAAGAAGAACTGATGCTTAAGATAAAGGGTTGCCGCATGCAGAGTCAGGCAGCCCTGGATGATTTCGGAAGTAATTATGAAGTTGAGACTGGGAAGAGCCAGAGATGGAACAGCAAAGTCACCAGAGAAAGGCAGCAGAGGAATTTGACAACAAACTATAGAGAAAACACAGCGCCATGAAGGGGGAGGATGCTCGAGCACCTGTTGTGACAGCTGTGACTAAGCATACAATGACCAGATCAGGGTGAATAATGAGAGAATCTGCTCATTTAAGAGTGTATATACAAACCCAGCAGGGACATGAAACTGTTTTGCTTTGTTTTACTGATAATGTGTTATTGGAGTCATGTCTCTGACTGTGTCCTAGAGTGGGTTCAAAACAATTACTTATATAACACAGGATATATTTAAGTCAGGGAGGACTGGGAAGGGAGAAATGTGTGTATCTCAATTTCTGGTTAAGAAGGAAAATGAAATTATGTTTTTCTGAATAGATTTATTGATTTCCATTTTTCTGACACAGGGATATCCGTCTCAAGGGCTGGATGCCCCTTGCAAAATCCGAACCGCAAAATAATTGGTGAATCAGATTAAACCCTGTATGTATCTCATGCCAGCTGCTGGTTCGTACCCCAACCCGAACTGCATTATTCTAAAAAGCAAACTCCTTAAAAATGAGCTCAGTCAGTGCCATCTCCAAAAGTTGGAGCCCACCTCTGGGTGGCTGCAGCCTGGTCCATGGTGGCCGGGGCTCGCTGCCGGCCGGGGCAGACAGGCAGTCCCTGGCGCAGCCCTGGCGTGCCGCCTGCCTGCAATGCTCTGCTTTAGAGGCAGGCGGGCATCTTCCAGACCAGCTTTGGGGTTAAAGAACCTGATTTCTGAAGTGGCAAATGCATGTCTCTAGCAAAATTCCATCCGTATGTGAAAGAAAATTGCGTTTGCTGCTCGCTTACAGAGCAGAGCAACATGCAGGACAACAGCAGGGAAAACAAAAGGAGAAACCAAACTCAACAGAGCGGTTCTTTGGGCACCAAGGAATAGCACGGTCCAGTGCGACTGCCCGCACTGCAAACCTGATTCACAAATCATGGCATTCTGTGCAAGAATAACCACTGCTACTTCAATTTAAAGTGAAAACCGTATTGAGAAACTCTGAATACAAAGACAAGATTTGTGGAATGTAAATACCTGGTGGGTGCAGCCAACCAGCACAAAATATATTTAGAAGGAGCTGGAGCTCAGTCCCGACTACAGTGCACTGTGGTTACAGATCATCATGTACAAGGAATAAATTACGGCAGCGTTTGTCAACTAATTTGGTGGAGGTATGAATTCTTTATCTATTAATCAATTTAGGGAAACATGAAGCACCTATAATCCATTCATCTTGCTTTAGCTTCTTGTTTAAATTTAATTAGAGTTGTTCTGATTTGATTGGAAAAAATGGAGGTACCTTTGAATATAGAGGTGTCAAATGGAGTATCTTGGATAGCACTTACGGCTGTGAGATCCTCCGGGCAATGGGTCAAGTAGTCTGGATTTTTTTTCCAAAACGAACAATCATAAAAATTGCTTACAGGGTAAGACCCCTCACTCACAGGTAAATAAAAAAGATGCTCATGGTGCCAGCACCTCACCAGTGAATGTTTGTAACGGCGTCAATTAGTTCGTTTCTCTCGTGCCTGCGGTGGTTTTCCCCTCTTCCATCAGTTTTTCCATTCCTTTATTGTCATCTATATGTACAAGGAGGATATTTAATAAGGAAACTTAATTTTTTCACCTTTTATCCTTATCCTAACTTTTTCTGTGGCAGTTGGTGTTAAAAATGTCACTTACTGCAGTAGGAGCAGAGTCAGATCAATGGCGCTTTTTTTTTTTTTTTTTTTTTTAATAAGAGAATTCTTCAAATTGCTTTTATAGAATGAAAAGACATTGCTAAGCCTTGGAGTCCTACATACAGATTTGAAAACTGCAGCTTCATTAAAACCCACGCACTAAATGTGATATACATTGATGCATGCTTATTATGGATAAATATTGTTCTCTAGGTAGTGCCTAGAAATTTTAATTAATTTCAGATATGCCCTATTTTAGTCCACGTATGCAGATTTCAAATCTGTGCCTTTGCCGATTTTGACACTGTGCAATGATGTATCCGAGCTTTCAGATGTCTGGCTCTTAGAGTTGTGAAATGATAAAACAAACAAACCCAACCGTTTCAGCCTTGTCAATCTAGTTCTCAGTGGACAGATGCCCTGGTGCTAGAAAAGCATCATCCCATGCAATACCTCTTGGCAGTGTCTAAAAAAAGCCAGAGATCTTCTAGACATAAAAGTAAGACTTGGCTTCTTATCTCAAAAGAAATCGTGTTTGTGGCCACGCTGAAGCTCCTGGGTAAGGCCGTGTGGGGAAACGTGCGTAACCTCAGCGTAGGGTGGGCCTCCTTTGTGCACGAGTAAGTGATGTCTGGTCTCTCAGAGCAAGTTGCCTCTGGATGGTGATGGATTAATGGGTGAAGGTCCAGGTTTCTGCGTTGAGGTTTCTGGAAGGACCTGGGTTCACTGTTTGTTTGTGTATTGCATCATTAATAAATTAAATGGTAGAGTTAATTATGGATTTAAATAATTTATTGGGTGCTTATCCAGTGGGAATTGACTAAACTTTCTACGAAAAGGGGAGGCTTTGGATTTGTGTTATGCACTAGCGGGGACAGAACCGGCCATGGCTCTGTACCTTGGTGGCCACAGCTCCAGCACATCTCTCCTCTTGAGCGCAGGGGAGGGGGGTGAGGCTTCAGGGTGGTCTCCTGCCCATGTAGTCAGTCAGGTTCAGCCGAGTACCCGGGCATGCGCGGTCTTGCTGGGACACAGGTCCAACACCGGCTGCTCTGGTGAAGCAGAACTCTCCATGGTGGAAAAAAAAAAAATAAATCCTGAAAGTCTTGCAAGATGGTTTCCAAAACCTGCAGAACCCTTTATTGTACAGGAAACTGGCTACAGCTGAGAGAGGCAGTGAATTGGTTTGGTACAGATGAGGTTTTCTTTTTGGCAAATGATTTGTTTTTAATGTCACACATGGTATCACGAGAAGTTGCAGCATTCGGGCATTTTTAATGAATTCATATTGCTTGCATATTAGTAGGAATATTTCCACCGCAGCAAACACCATAAACAGTTTCCACACTGGGGTATGTTATACTGCCACCAGAATTGGTTCTTCTGATGGTTCATTTCTTTTATGCTGAGAATTCAGGACCAATTCAGCTTGGTTTTATGCATCATTAGAGATTTACAATTACTTTGCTATAGTTTCTTTCTGGAAGCCTATCTCTCATGGTTAATGCTATGGGAGCCCTGTTGTGTAGAGGCTGGTATTAGCCACCTTATAGCAATAAAGTGTTTGAGAAGGATTTAGAATTATGAGTGGCTAAATTCTCCGTGCGGCAACTATAATACCGTTATCCCTTGCTGAGCTTGGGTTGAAACTTTTTTTTCTTTTTTTTCCCCCTCAAATTAGAAAAAAACGCTGTTTCTTCAAGAGGTTTTGAATCATTTGCATGCCATTTTTTTGTTCAACTGCTTCAGTCAGAAATGAGGAATTGTGAGAAATTCCATTTAGATTTCATGATGCTTAACATACATTTAGATTGTATTAGTATATAATGAAAAGAAGGCCTCATATTTTTTTTATCTCACTTTTTAGAAGTGTAATCATTATTTGGGACTTTCTTTTGATTTTCAGATTTTACGTGTGTTGCTAAAGTCAATAAATTTTACAAGCTTTGCCTTTGGACAATAAGCGGTGGATCTGTATGTGTTATAATCCACATAATTCACATCTCACATAAATACACTATTGCACTGAAACAAACCTGATATGCAGTGAATGATATGGGCCCGATCTAAAGGCCATTAAAATCAATGAAAAGATTTCAAATTAACTTTTATAGCCTTTAGATCAGGCCCTAAATGGGCAAATTACAGTTATGGAGTTTCCCATTTACATACCTGTGTGCTGCATTTAATATATTTTATGCAATTGAAATTACTTGGTACTCTTTTTCATGCTTTTTTAGGATAAGAATTTGCCAAGGGCATCAACAGCAGTTTTCCCAGGCTTCAGCGCAAGGATTATAGAGTCAATCCACAAATGACTCAAATCTTTGAAAAAACGGACATGGTTATCAGAGAGGCTTTGACGACAGCAAGGACGGGAGAGCTATCTGCCTTATTCCATCAGAGATTCTCATTCCCTCTCATTAACATACTCAGGACATCAGCACCAGCCACCAGTCCCAGGGGAATCGCACAAAACTTTTAAGGGAATACGCACAAAACCTTGCCCCTGCATTATTTTAAATAGATCAAACCAGATTTGTCTTGTGTGAGGTTAGAAGAAAGGCTGGGGCACGGTAGCATGAGGGGAGAGATTCAAAGGTTGCAGGGAATTTTCAAATCCATTGTTATAACTTGGTAATCTTTCTTCTTTTACAGGGTTCTTCAATCCCGCCGAGGATGCACAGAGCTGATCTCTAAGTCTGTGATATCTGCTGCCGCTGTAAGTGTGAAAGAGAGATGCCTCTACCTGCTCTTTCTCCCTGCCCTGTAATGAAAAACGCTTTTGGAGCAACACTGGAAATAAGCCATCAAAATATCTGATTAAACCTCTTAAGAAACTGTCACTAATCACCTTCTCCGCTCTTGATGGAATATATTTATGCATTATAAATATACTTACTATGTGTGTGTGCTCCATAAATCACACTCAGCACTTGTATATGATGTATAAGCACATTCTATAGAATACACACAAATACAGATGCCAAACTCCCACAGAGTTCATCACTGGGAAATGTTTGAAGGGTCTGATCCTTAATATTTAATGAGCAAGATGCTATTTCCTTCCTCAGCTTTTATCTCTGGTTTGGCATAGTCATTAAATTTGTTGTTTCCTTGCAAGATTATATAATTTATGACCTAATTTTAGACTTTTGTGTAACCGCACTAAAATACTCGTGGCGTATCTGGATTTCTTTGCACAGAGTGTTTCAGTATTAGACACCAGCTAGAACATGACTGCTCAGATGTGAACTTCCCATCAGTAAGGAGTTACAAGCATTAAAGGAAAACAGCCCAACAATATTCAGATAGCATTACAGGATTAGATTGTGGAGGGGTTTTTTTGTGTTTTGTTTGTTGGGGTTTTTTTTGTTTTTTTTTTTTTTCCCTGTAAAAATACGATTTAGCAGCATTTCCAAAGCCTGCCGTATGCAGTGGTTGGCAGGAATCCCCAAGTAATACAGTAATCGCCCAGCAACTCCTATTACATAAAATATTTTCATGTAGCAGCTTCTGACTTTCGGATGGCTCTGGGACAAAGTCAGGCAGCCTACATGGCAGGGAGGGATGTACAGAGCTGGGGAAAGCAGGTGAAGAATGACACTTAGTGCTTTAAAGTGACTATCAGTCCCCTCGCCCTCTGGAGAAAGCATTTGCTCTGCAGCACCAGCCTGGCTGGGGTGATTTTTTTCGCTGCGCAAGGTGTTGCCAGATAACTCCTAAATGAATTACGCTAAAGCTGCAGCCACATTTTTTTTTTGTGCCTTCTGTATGTCCAGGGTAATTCAGTGGTGTCATAAATAGTGCCTCGAGTTTCAGGTATTTTGTCAATTTAAACCATATTGTTTGGACCAGTCTTTCATCAAATGTAATATATCGGCTATTGAATTAATGTGTTTTGAGAGCACTTTATTCTGGTGTTTAAGAGGGAAGTGGCTCGCGGTTGAGGACAAGGTTAGGTGCTTGCTTTGTGGCCACAGCACAGTTATGAGGCTTTTTTTTTTTTTTTCTCTTTTTCTACCTTACCCTGAGGTATCCACCGTGGATTCTAGAGGCGGGGTGCTGTCTCCTCAGACCAGCACCCGGAGCGATAGGGACCACGTGCCTGCAGCTCAGCGTACCCCTCCTAACATGGTGTACGGGCTGAGGTGGGTGCCTACGTGAAAGAAAAATAATCCTTATGGAAAGGTGACATTATTTCTTGGAATAAGAAGGACTGGCGAGTGTATCTTCTTGGCTTTAATGGAGCAGTTCCAGGAAAGCAACAGCCACCAAAGCGGTTTCAGTATCACATAATTCAAGAGTAAAATCATAATTCCAATTACCATTTCAGCCATTTCTGGCCTTGGGAAACCTATGTTAATATTTATTATTGTATGATTGACCTATGATTTCTTCATCATTTACATTAGCAACTATGATATTCATAGTAACATCCTTTAAATCATATAAGCAGATGTCAACAGTGCATGATGAGGTCACATCCTGCAGATTTTTTATTTACTTAGTCCGTTTTTTTTTTCCTGGTAAAATAACATTGTGAGATGCATAATCTCACCTCCACGAGGCCTCTAGGGGCATATATAATCACAGAATGCATTTTCTATAATCTCACTAAATGAGTCAATTCTATCCGAGGTACAAACAGTTATACAAAGTCAGTATTTCACTTCCAACACTGCCTGACATCATCCTCCACATAGTGCAAGAAAATATTTACTTGGCTCTTTGACATGAATTGCCACAAAGGCTTTGGAACAAAACATCGAGGAAAGCAAAGAATTAAAATGGAATAACTTAATTTAAAGAGTTTAGCCCCTTTTCTGGGTGCAGGATTTAGATTTGTAACTTTGTCAGATGCTTTCTTATAAGGTCTGGACTGGCCATAGACACCTTTAATCTCTGTTCTTCAGCGAAATGCCTAGGCACAGATCAGAGAGTTGCCCAGAATATCCAAAGCTGGACACTGATCCTCTTTTTTCATCATCTAAATATTTTCTTTGCCCAAGTGAGCATTTGTCTGTGTGAATTAAGCTACTGCGTTTATTTTCCAGGCAGCTTCCCGAGGCGTGTTGTTTCTGATGCTTTTCTGGGCAAAGCGCTGTGGAGCAGCCAATACTTAACGATAATCTCCTAGAAAACAGCTTGTTGTTCCATACAGGCATTACCAGCTGTAATTCTTATTAACTCTAAAATCAGTTTTTACCCTTTCTGCCTGTCCTGGCACAGGAGAGGGCACCAACAGGCCTCTTGGCTTTGGAGCGATGAATTCCCAGCCCAGCCCTGATAACGTGTCCGGGGAGGACGACCGCTTCTGCACTGTGCAGGTGAGGTGCCAAGGGCAGCCTGGGGCTTCTCACCACCTTCAGGTAGAGTTTATTTGTCCACAAAGAGACCGTAAAATTTTTTTCAGATTGTTCTGGTGATGTGTCAGGAAGTTTTAGTTCTCCATTTGTGTCCCATAGCCACTACTCATCTTCCTGCCTTAATCCAGCTCCGACTTTTGTTCACCTCCAGAAAGCACAGCCAGGTGCTTTTCAGCATCTCCTCGGGAAATGGGCCACATCTGCAGTGCTCAGGAGAGTGGGACCCATCAGTGCTGGCCGGAGAGGGCTGTCTTTCGTTGTCTTTGTCTCTCATCCATCGCTTTTTTACTGAAGTTAAATTCTTCCGAACTGGCATTGCCTTAAAGAGTTTACCTGGCTCAGCAGGTGCCAGGTTTAGGATGTTTCAAATAGTTTTTTGGATTATTTTGAAAAAAATCTTTAACCTTACACAGGTTGTCAGGCAGGTGGACTCACTTCTACTCTCTGGTCATGTAGCCCTGAAAGTGCCCCCTCACTTCTTAGATGTAAGGCGAGGTAAAAAGGTCGGAATAGTCCTAGGTCATATATCTGAAGACTGGCTGTGAATAATAATTATTAAGAGTTTCTGTAATGGTGCAGGTTACAGACACGGGACCAAACACCTGCAGTGAACCTCCTCAGGCGAAATTCTCCTTGGCTTCAATCATGTTTTTTTCCAGAGAAGAGACCGCTGGCTGCGCTCAGGGCGATCTGCCTGTTCCTGGCTTAAGAGGCACTTATAATCTACTGCTAAGAGACTTATTAGCAATGTAAAAATGAATTTGAAGCAAGAAAAGTATTCTTCCTAGAAGAAATACGTATTTTGTAAAATTAGTTTTGCTGACAGAAGTAATTGGTCTAACTCCTTGTGACTATGGATGTTATTTGTTGCTCCTTATCTTACCAAAGCAAAGGGTGCCAAATGCTTTGAACTTTGTAAATAATTGTTTCCAAAGTGTGTGTGTGGTTTGTTTTTTTTTTTTTTTTTTTTTTTTTTTTTTT